AGCCTGTGACATAAGATTTTCAACTGCATAATTACTCTGTAGCTATGTCAGATTGACAATAAAGAACCTTGAACCTTGAACCTTCCTGACACACACTGTAACCTTTGATCAACCTCGACCTTTACCCTCTGCTTCACCTCATGGTAACCCAGACAATTATAGTTTTCCCAGGTCTGTCATCAGCTGCTTCCAATCCTCTCATTTCTTCAACACTTGGACACACACACAGACATCATATATATATATCATTATCCACACACTAGACTACACAACTGGTACTGATGCTGCTCACATCTGTGTGAGTGTGAGCGAAAGAGAGTGTGTCTCCACTGTAATGTAATTAATCAACTGAGAGTGTTGATTACTTAATCTGTCATTAGCCAGCCATGTGTGCAAGTGTGTGTGTGTATTAGTGTGTGTGTGAGGCAGTAGGGTGTTTCTATGCCCCCTTGTACAGACAGCTGTGACCAGAGCCAAACAGGGCAGAGCAGAGATTGATGATACTGGACTAATACCATCATTCATCAGGGATGTGATATTTCAGGGATTGGGATTTGTTTTGGACGTGCTGCCTTCCTTCATTTCCAACGGGACTTTTACACTTTCTCGGTTCATTTCCTGCTCACTGACTGATGATTTACACCCAACATGTACCAGTTTCTAAAGGCTAATCCAGATATATCATTTACTGCATCTCACTCCACCTGTTTGAAAAAAAGAATGAAAAAATGCCAACCAGATGACATCTGAAAATTGCAAACTGTGGCAAGCAGCAATGTGCTGTTTGATTAATAATGTAATCACCGTAGAGATAGTTATTGGATATGCGCACTGATTAAAATGTTACTTGCCAAACTCTGAAAGATGTGCTTGAAACTTGCACAGTATTTGTTGGAAATGTTTCTTGTGACTACCAAGGCATCCTCTTGTAGTACTAACAGTTTTTGCCCAGCATGATGTTTGGAAAACCTGTCTCCATCATGTCATGTTCTCTCTCTCCCTCATTCTTAACTTTCTGACAACAGCAAGAGGCGAAAGGTTGCACCGCCGCTGCGTGTCGCTAATCCATTTTTCAATACAAACGCACCAATTCACACACACACACACACACACACACACACACACACACACACACACACACACACACACACACACACACACACACACACACACACACACACACACACACACACACACACACACACACACACACACACACACACACAACACACACACACACACACACACACCACACACACACACACACACACACACACACACACACACACACACACACACACACACACACACACACACACACACACACACACACACACACACACACACACACACACACACACACACACACACACAGTCTAATGAGGGATTAGCTAATGAATTCTCTCAACAGATTAATTACATTTTACACACACACACGCTTGTGTGCGCACAGACTCCATCCCCAAACGACTGAAGATATGAGCCAGTACTTTGAGAGAGACGGGCTTTTTAAATCTATCACTAAATTGAAATCCGACGAAACAGATTGGCTCTGGGCAAAGTGGCATTTGATTTAGAGAGAAGACATTAAGACGGATCTGAAGGACAGCGGACTAAAGCATTACTTTTAAAGAGAAAAATAAATAAAGCAGCCTTTGATTCGCTGCCATTTTACATGGCACGAGTAGAATGAGGAGGCATTTTCACATGAATCCAAATGAGAGGCAAACATTTCACATGCGCATCTTTGTACCACTGTATTCCGGAGGGCTTAAAAGCATCGGCCTCCCTCTTTCTCTTTAAGTGACAGCAACACAAGAGTTGACACACACATTTGCTCAACACACACACAGGACATGACAGAGAAACACACACACACACACACAATCCCTCCTGCCGTTTTCACAGTCTCTTGAGTAGAGGAGATGCCCACGGCCAAAAACCAATGGTTGCTTTTCTTGTTTTTTTTTCTCCCCCTCCTCCTCTCCTGCTTTCACTATCACTCTGTTTCTCCCGCCTTACTGGGGGAAAACACACCATTTTATTTCATCTTCTAAATGCGCCGAAAAGTAATTATAATTAAAACCAACTTGATTGTAATGTTGAAAATACAAAAATAACTTACAATTATAATTAAACAGGCTCAAATGTGGTGTTCAGCAGCAGCCATCTAATTTGTCTGGAGACACTAATGGAAAACAATTATTTCACTTCATTAAGATGAAAGACGTCTGGAATCTGTGTCACAGCTCCATCAGAGAGGAGACGGATTAGAAAGTTGTCAAATTAACATAAACTCACTTAGACTCGTTCACATTTATTACACTGGCTTTTGGAAGCGATAGGCCAAAAACAAAACTGCCGCAAAACAGCACGATAAGAAGAGACAAGGGAGAGACGGATTTACGCCATAATTGATAGTTTGACTTTCTAAATGGGAAACTAGAAGATAAAGGAGGAAATGAGACACAAAAAGTGACTTTGTTAAGGAGTGACGGAGAGTTTTGTATCCTTCACTGTTTTTTCTTGTCCTTGTTTTTACAGAGAGACGGCCACTGGTGCTGCAGCAACACACATCCCTGCTGTGGTTCTCTCTGATTTCCCTCATGTCATCCCTTATGATCTAATAATGACACATATTCTCAGTGACAGTTCACACTGGCTGCATTAATGATCCACCTATAAACCATATCAGCTCCGTCAGTTCAACATTTACTGAACAAATGTAATACAAATGCTGTCAATCAATGATGGAAAAAACAGTGCTGATCTTTAAAATAAAGCATGCCCTGCAGGTCTTTGTAACAATAATTGAGTGAAAAGTAAACTCTTAATTTCCATCAATTAAGGTTCAAAGTGCATACAGAAAAGGGGATATCAGGTACATGTTATCCTGGGAACTTGGTGGTTTCAATGCAACTATAACAATAATGTTCCTGGCATTTAAAATAAACACTTTTCTCTCTGCAACACAACAGCAAGCTCTGTTTTTCAACCCCCTTTTTCCACACTGACCTCCCGCTCCCTGTAAAGCAGCATCTACTCACTAGTATTTACTTGCAAATTAACAGCACTCAGATTCCCAAAGAGGCCTCAAAGAAATTCCACACATTTGTTAGCCAGGGGGCCAAATGGCCACAAGGGAGGGGGAGAGGAGGGGGGGAGGAGGGTATAGCAGGGCTGGGGAGAGGAGGGGTGGGGTGGGCAATAAAACGTTCACAGATGAAGCGTTAATTAATGTGTAATTTCTATGCAAATCATTAGCATTCCTAAGCGAATACTGAGAGAGAAAACGACGCTTTTGTGCTATTTCTGGTTATTTCATGCTTTTCAATCGGGGCTTGATGTGTCCTTTATTACAGCCATATAAGGTTTTAGTATAATTTTGGAGGTCAGACTTGTAACAGCTGTGTGAGACTCTCTCTTTATCTGCCTGTGCGTGAGTGTGTGTTGGAGTTCAGAGACGAACAACTGCTGAATGTGGAAATAAAGCGCGCAGCAGCCACGCAGACAGCGACACAGTTACACAGAGTTTGCATGCACGGACATCCAGAGCTGCACAACATATACACTGCGTCCTGCACCACGACACTACACACAGCTACAGGATAACTCTCTTTCTCCAGTTCATTTAGGGCACTTTTGCAGGGGCATCGTCCCGGAGAGCATCACCAGTTGTTGCAGCGCGGACTCAAAGTGAATACGTATTTCTGCAGGGAAGCAGAGGCACTCTTTAAACTGAAGTCAAGAAGACCCAGAATAAAATAAGAGTTTAAAGTCACGGTCGATGGGAATGCACTCGTATGCATGTAGTTTAACTGTATCTATTAGGAATGGAATTGTGCACATATTCCAACAACTCACATCGTACATTTCCCCAGATTTCGTGCGTAAAAAGAGATGAAACCGGGGTGTATATAGAGAAATAAGTAACTGATCCTCTCCATCTTTCCTCTACTTCAGTTAAATCACACCTTGCAATGATAAAACCCATTCAATCAGACAGGCAATCGGGCTGTATCCCTAACCATTAGGTTTTATCGCAAGTAAAGTTGGAGCAGAAGAGGATCGTTTGGTTTGCAGAGAGTAAAAAAGCTCACGGTGGTTGCGAACACAAGCGATCATTGCATCCTATAAAATATACTTTCCTCTTCAACCACTTGAAATACATCACAGACTAAAGAATAACACCTTACAAAAACATTAGTAGGCTGCACTAGCATGCATTAAAAACGAATACGAGTAAGAAATAATAATTCAAGTAATCACAGGATGGAAAACAGCATCAAATGCAAGATCACTGTAATACCCAGACCCTGTACAAGTATTCATTGTGACACTATGTGATTATTATAGTTAATAGATGGTGATCTCCGTGCACACAGTAACTTTTTCTCCATTCATGCGCCGTCAAGAGGCTGCACGGAGGAACGATGTTTCCCACTGTACACTGCCGTTAAACCGTAACCCCGTGCAAAAACATGTTTCTTATTGTAACCTTTGAAGTGCTAACCTCAAACAATCGTTTTATACAGAACATCCTCACTCCGGGATAAGTGAACAAACTGAAAATAATGCAACTTTGTTTTTAAGATTAGTGTTCACAATCCAAACTATGAGGGTCAGTGTTAGTCATTTGTGCAAGTGAGACCGACATACTTGGCAAACAGACTGAAATGAAACAAGAGGCGACTCACTCCGGCTTTAAATGTTACTCGCAATGCAACCTAAGGAAAACATTTCATTTTAACAGTGACAAAAAGCACCTTTACGCCTAAAAAAATGCACGTCTCGCTTCCGAGGGTGATTTAAAACATCCCCAAAGCGACAAAACAGACACGCCAGTACGTTTTCAACACGGAGGCTAACTTTTCTCCTGCACCTAAACACACCTGTCATGGATTCATACGCTTACAAGGTTGCAGAAAATGAGGAAATAGTGCAAACTTTACTAACAGAAAACATTATTAACAGCCTATTGTTCATGTTTTCGTCCTTACCTGTCGGTATCTGCCCGGACACGTTAGCCGAAAAGAGAAACAGGAGTCCCAGGAATACGGGGAAAAGTGTATCCATGTTTTCAAACGTGGCCGTGTGAGAGTCTGTAACAGTTTTTCCCCGGAAAAGTTTTTCCTGCGAGTGTTCTCCGTCCTCTCCTCCGTCTTCAGTCTTCTTTATTTCTCTCTTTAGTGTGTTGTTATTATTATTCCTCCTGGTGTGGATTCAGAAGCTCCATTCTCTCTCCGGTTGCTCTCTTTTCGCTTCCTACGGGCTCTCGCGGACACTACACTTTGTTTCACGCGGAGTGAGAGAGCGCGAGGGAGAGAGAGCGAGCGCAGCAGAGAAAGTGCGTGACGTCACGAAGCAGGAGTTGATTGGAAAAAAAAACATACAAAATAAAAACACACAAATTAAAGAAACAATGTAGGAACTCTAATAGTACCTGTCATGTGAAATAATAATAATAAAGGTTTCTTTATAAATAATTTTTCCATCAGTCATTTTTACATTTCTTGTATTGTATTAGTTTAAATGATTGTTTATTTATATTATTTATTTTTCATCAAATACAAAACGTTTAATGAATCGCTCATAAATGCGATAAAAGGTTATGTTTGATCAAATGTTAATACGATATGGTGTTTATTAGGCAATAGATTAACCACAACATTGTACAAGAGATGGTAAAAAAAAATAAGCAGCATGTTGCTTGAATGTTAACATATCAAAAATAATGATCTACTAATTAAATGCATCAGTTATTATACTATACCATCCTGAAAGGGGCCATTCTACACGATGAGAACTGTTTTTTTACTTCAAATCCTAAAGTAACGTATAATGCTGGTCTTTTTACTTGTGATGAAGAATGGTTTTGGTTGTATTGTTACGTTTAAGTAAACCGAGTACAATCTAGAAAATGTAAATTTGTCAGCCTAAAAAGGTAATAATTAGGGCTGATTAAAATATTTAATCGCGATTAATCGCATGATTGTCCATAGTTAATCACGATTAATCGCAAATTAATCGCACATTTTTTATCTGTTCTAAATGTACCTTAGAGGGATATTTTTCACGTTTTTAATACTCTTATCAACATATGAGTGGACAAATATGCTTTATATGTTTGTTTATTATCATTTGAACAATGACAAATATTCTGATGAATATTAAACACAACAACCTGAACATTACAAATATTCGCCTCAATTCAACCTGGAACCTCTCTCATACAATAATACAGTGTGTGTGTGTGTGTGTGTGTGTGTGTGTGTGTGTGTGTGTGTGTGTGTGTGTGTGTGTGTGTGTGAATGTTGAGACACTGTGATGGATCGTTGGAGCTATGTGCAGCTCAAGGCATATATGCTCCAACGGGAGCTGCCTGGACGCTGCAATCATGTTGCGCGTACTATCCGTGCTGAGTGTGCTGACTTTTCGTACAATGTCCCACTGTCTGGCTACCTGCATAAAGTCAAGTGCTCGGCACAGTTGTCGGCGAAATGTCATTGAAACAGCTCCTTATATCCGTTAGCGCAGCTAGCTAGCACCAGATGCTAACAACAACAACACGTAAGGTGTGCCTCGCTCGCGCGAGTCGCGCCACACATACACACTCCCTCCCGGTCCTCCCGATGGCCAGTCCGGGCCTGCCGGTGGGCGTGGAAGTGTGGTCTGCCACAAGCGGGCGGCAGGAGTAGGGCTGTCAGCATCAGCTTGTAGATGGTATTTTAAACTTGATGCGCTCTGAAACTACGGGGCGGCCGAGGACAAAAAATACACATGCGTTAATCGCGTTAAAATAATTAGTGGCGTTAATTTTTTTTTGCGTTAACGCGTTATTAACGCGTTAACTTGACAGCCCTAGTAATAATATATCAAAGTTGCCATCAGTTCTTGTTCCACTCCCCCCTAGTGGCCAGAAATATATGTTAGCGGACATTTAAACATTCAAAACACATTCTTACAAATACAAAGTACAAAGGAGCAGCACTAGTTGGCCCCTTGAGAACAGTTTCTGACACAACAATATTTATAATTCCTGGCACAGTCCAGAGGCCTGTACTACGAAGCTGGATTTTCGCTTAGCCGGCTAACTTCAGGGAAATCTCGGGCTTTCCGGTCCTACGACGCTGGTTCTCTTTTTAGCAGGCTAGATTTCCATGGTAACTTATGCTGAGCGGCAAACCTGCTCCGGAGCAGGTTAGGTGGCAGGCTAAGAGATCAACTCAGTGAAAGCACCGCCTGCTGACCAATCAGAGCTCCGTGTGCGGAGTTTAAAGCGATCAATTCATATTACAGGATAGAGGAAATACAGAAAAACTGCCGTTGCAGGAAAGACGGCCGGCCAAAATCAACTGACTGTGTGAACGTGAAAATTAATAGAATATCCCCTCCCATCTTCAGAGCAATCTGACTATTATAATATTAGCGTTAAGAAAGCTTACTTAAATATCTGCCACGACATAAGTAACCGGATCAGAGTAACATTAAGTACAGTCCGCGGCACTGTGAGTGCAGACGTCGATGTGTCCCATTATCATTCATATCATATCACATCATAATGTATCATATATTTCCTTATTTGAGTCAGCTTCTTGAGCCGTATCTGGCCGTGCAACACTCACAGTGTCACATACTGTATGCAGAAGTATTATTTTAAGCAACACATTAAGTTGACGAAACACTGGAGTCAAATGTAATTAAAGTCAGATCCACTCGTGTCTTACTCACTCGTGGGGCAGTGATTTCATAAACCTGTTAATGTACGCATTCAAACGCTTTTTCTTTTACCAGCTGTATTCACCTTGCAGGTGCAGCTATGTGGCTTTTATCCTGGATAAAGTGTTTAAGTCATGGATCTTTAAAGTTTAACTTCTTCATATTTGACTAATATTAAAGTTCACTTTTCATTCAGGAAGTATGACGCTGCGCTGTCAGTACGCTTGTCCGTGTTTGAGATTGGTCGAATGCTCCAAATACCACCCCTTTCATGTGAACGCGCACCTAACTAGATAGGACACGGCTGGCTTGAGCGATCCACTTGATAACCAGCGTCGTAGTACAGTTTAGCCAGAGCGCGTATGTTTTGGATTGGGCCAACCGGCTAACTCAAACATATCCAGGTTAGGTTGAACCAGCTTCGTAGTACAGGCCTCAGGACTCCTGTCCAACTCTGGGCCCCTAAACCATTCAGCTGCCAACACCTCAAAGGCATCCTGCTAATAAACCCTATAGAACAGAACAGCATAGAAATCAATAGAATAGAATCAGTCAGAAATGTAATGTATGTAATAAGGTACATTTACCCAAGTACTGTACTATAGTTTTGGGGGTTTTGTTAATTACTTGAGTATATCTATTTTATGCTTAAGCAATAGCTCACGACAGGCTGTGGTTTATGGTCATTATATCAGCTAAGGCGCGTGGTTCGGCCCGACGCGAAGCCAAGCCACCACAGCCCAACTGCCACCACAGCCACCAACAGCCACCACAGCCCAACTGCCACCATAGCCACCAACAGCCACCACAGCCCAACTGTATACAGTTAAATCGACCGGACTTATTTCTGCAGATGTGATCGTCCTTAACAACGGTCAATAAGTCCTTGCTGCACATTATCCCTTACATGTTTCCATCTTAAGCGTTGTTAGTTAGTTAGTTTCATAACGGACGTAATGTAACAGTTGTAACGGTTGTAGCTTTTCTCAGACGCGGAGGGATACTGACTTGTTGTGAAAAGTAACTACAATTCTACCCGTGATATACGCTCATTATATCACGGCTAAGAACCAATCAGACTAGACAACCTACACCTTCTGCAGGTGAGAGGGAGACACTCAAAGAAACAGACAAAAAGTCATTAAATAGCACATTTTTAATATATGAAAATGTTTGTGTTTATATATTAAGTCTGTTAATTAGGCTAATTTACAGTAGAAAGACTTAAAGGACACATAGAAAAGTTGCAGGTAAAAAATCAGTCTTTCCTAGACACAAGCCAGAGTGTTTGGATCTGCAACGTCATATATAACGCCAGGACTGGAGGGGCTTCTTTTTGATTTAAAGGAGACCTTGTGGTCGCTTGCTGGACTGTGAACGCTTCCATAGTTTTTATTTCTGCTAAGACCCTTTCTGTCAAGAAAATGATTTAAATTACTGCTGGGTTTGCTTGAAAGATGACCTTTATATCACTGGTTTCACACCATAAAACTGTGAACCTTGCACATATTACTGTATACTTTGCACATTTCTTTTAAACGCTACCTCTATTTCACAGCTCTTCCACTTAAAATTCTGGTACACTGCACTATTGTATTTTCTATAGTAATTTTATAATAAATTACTGTTACTCTATTGTTTAATTCTTCTTTTTTTTCAAACTCATACCTCTAACTGGGTTTCAGTATGCACCATTTTACACCAAAGACAATTATACATTTGCAAATCTAATTGGCATTAAACCTGATTCTGATCAGCAGAAAACTGCATTTAGCACATTTGACATATTTCCAATTCATTTTCTGGACTAACAATTAGCTTCTGTGGGTACTTGTACATCATGAAATATCTGAGTTTGCATGAGGTTCTGCATATTTCAGGTAAAAACAAATGATTTGCCCACATCTGCACACAATGGTGACAGCCGTGCGTGTCAAAGTGCGGCTGGATGACATCATGACAGGCGCCTGCCAAAAAACACAAAATAGATGTTATGATTTGGTACACAGCTGAGCTAAAAATATGTGGTGTGGATGGAAATGTACGAGCAGGGAACCGCCGTGTATCATCTTAGTGTGTTTTGTCTTTTAGTGCCACCTCTCCCACATGAAAGGTGTGAAAAAATCTATTCTCCCAAAGTTTCGTGCTGTGAAAAACTAAAATATTCACACAGGCAAACTTTGGAGCTTTATTGCATTGCTGGATTTCTTGTGTTGCTGATAATCATGGGTGTTTTCTGACTGTTTGTGCAGTACATGTGACTGTTTGGCCTTCAAATAAACCTAGTTGCCCTGTTTCTAAATACCACTCTGATGCTACTACTTTGCTTCAAAATGTGAATTTGCTATCGTTACACTGTGCCGGTACCCTGTCATTATAGACAACAGTGTATCACTGTTTGTTGAAGGTGCAGGTTCTAGGTGGTTATTTGCAGTTATTTTCGCCCACACACTGCTATCAATTCATAGTTTTGCTTATGCGTAGATTCAGACAGCTTTTACTTTTGCGAGTTTGTGTACAGTGGGCTGAAATCATCTAAGCATATCTGTACTTTGAACTCAGAAATGATTTTGCATGGGTATGTA